GGCGTGCACCACCACACCCAGCTAATTTTTGTATTTTCAGTAAAGATGGTGTTTCGCCATGTTGGTTAGGCTGGTCTCAAACTCCTGACCTCAGGTGATCCACCTGCCTTAGCCTCCCAAAGTGTCAGAATTACAGTCATGAGCCACTGCATCTGGCTGGAAAATTTTAAGTTATCCATTTATTATCCATTTTTAGTTTTACTGCATTATTGTCAGAGAATATTGCCTGCATGATATTGGTCACTTGCTATGTATCATGTACTCTTTTATGGCCTACTATGTAATCCACTCTTGAAATATTTTAATATACTTGAAAAGAATGTGAACTTTTAGTTGTAGATAGAACTGAATATAGTATCTCAAACTAATTTATTATGCTCAGGTAATTAATAAATAATGAACAGTAAAGATGTTCAATACTTAATTTTTATCAGTTTGATGTAGTATTTTCTGAGAAAAATAATTCAAATAATTCAAACAACAAAAGTGTTGTTGATCTTTTTTTTTAATCTTCGAGTTTTGTTAGTACAGGTTGAGTATCTCTTACCCAAAATGCTTGGGACAGGCCGGGCGCAGTGGGTTCATGCCTGTAATTCCAGCACTTTAGGTGGCCAAGGCAGGTGGATCACCTGAGGCCAGGAGTTTGAGACCGGCCTGGCCACCATGGCAAAACTCCGTCTCTACTAAAAATACAAAAATTAGTTAGATGTTATGGTGTGTGCCTGTATTCCCTGCTACTTGGGAGGCTGAGGCAGGAGAATTGCTTGAATCCAGGAGGTGGAGGTTACAGTGAACCTAGACCGTACCATTGCACTCCAGCCTGGACGACAGAGTGAGACTCCATCTAAAAAAAAAAAACCGAAAACAAAATGTTTGGGACCAGATGTGTTTTGGATTTTAGATTTTTTTGGATTTTGAAATATTTGCACATACATAGTGAGTTATTTTGGGGATGGGAGACATTTATGAATATGAAATTCATTTATGTTTCGTATATGCCTTATACACATAGCCTGAAGGTAATTTTATAGAATATTTAAGTAATTTTATGCTTGAAACAGAGTTTATATTAAGTACTTAGATGTGAAATTTTCTACTTGTGATACCATGTTGGTGCTTAAAAAGTTTTGAATTTTGGAGCAGTTCAGATTTTGGATTTTCAAATTAGAGATGCTTAACCATCTCTTTCAGATTAGAGATTCATTTTGAGGCCTGTTGGTCTGAGTATATAGTTATGATGGATATCTATTATACTGCTATTGATCATTTTGTTAGTGCATAACATCGTTTTCATCTCTAATGCTGTGTTTTCTTTTTGACTTAACTTTCATTTTGTCTGATAAAATTATTGCCACTCAAACTTCCTTTTGGTTTATGTTTGCCTAGTATCTTTTTACGTCCTTTCCCATCAATATTTTTGTCCTTGTTTTATGTGTCTCTTGTGTTTATACTTCCAACATTTTTTGCACCTTTTTTTTTTTTTTTTTGGAGACAGAATCTTGCTCTGTCACCCAGGCTGGCGGGCAGTGGCGTGATCTCGGCTCACTGCAACCTCCACCTCCCTGGTTCAAGCAATTCCCGTTCCTCAGCCTCCCGAGTAGCTGGGATTACAGGCGTGCACCACCATGCCTGGCTAAGTTTTTTGTATTTGCACCCAGCCGCAACCAATTTTTTTTTTTTTTTTTTTGAGACGGAGTCTGGCTCTGTCGCCCGGGCTGGAGTACAGTGGCGCGATCTCAGCTCACTGCAAGCTCCGCCTCCCGGGTTTACACCATTCTCCTGCGTCAGCCTCCCGAGTAGCTGGAACTACATACAGGTGCCCGCCACCTCGCCTGGCTAGTTTTTTGTATTTTTTTAGTAGAGACGGGGTTTTACCGTGTTAGCCAGGACGGTCTCGATCTCCTGACCTCGTGATCCGCCCATCTTGGCCTCCCAAAGTGCTGGGATTATAGGCTTGAGCCACCGTGCCCGGCCGCCGCAACCAATTTTTAGATCTAATTTTAATCTATTCTCAAAAATGGTCTTTTAATTGTTGGTTTTTGCCTTTTAATTGGTGGTTTTGGTTTACATTATTGTAATGGCTAGTAAGATTTTGTATGCTATTTTAGAAAATGTTTTTCAGTTGCTGTATACATGTGTTTTCTTTCTTTATTATTATTATTTTTTTGAGATGGAGTCTTGCTCTTTCGTCTAGGCTGGAGTGCTGTGACACGATTCTCAGTTCATTGCAACCTCCGCCTCCTGGGTTCAAGCGATTCTCCTGCCTCAGCCTCCTGAGTAGCTTGGATTACGGGCGCCTGCCACCACGCCTGACTAATTTTTATATTTTTGGTAGAGATGGGATTTCACCATGTTGGCCAGGCTGGTCTTGAATTCCTGACCTGTGATCTGCCCAGCTAAGCCTCCCAAAATGCTGGAATTACAGATGTGAGCCACTCTGCCCGGCCTCTTTGTTTTTTTTTTTTTTAATAAATACAGACAAGGTCTCACTATGCTGCCCAGGCTGGTCTCAAAATCCTGGGGTCAAGCAGTCCTCCTGCCTTGACCTCCCAAAGCACTGGGGTTACAGTGTGAGCCACTGTTCCTGGCTGAGTTGCTGTATATATGTTTTTCTTTCTTGGTTGTGTGTGAGCACCTAATGAGGTACATGGAGAGGAGGCTTTGTGTGGGTTAGAATTCCCCTGTCTGTGGTCACAGGTGTTAACATAGTCTCACTGTGTTTCACACTTGGCTTCTAGCAATTTCTTAAAAACTTTTACTGAATTCTTATTACCCTGCTTGTGTGATATTCACTGGCCTCTTCCTGAGAGGTACTTTTGTCTCATTTCTTTATGGAAGTGTCTTTCATCTGATGGTGAGTTGGTTGCCCTGTGATTTCTGCCCTCTGATGGGTTTCAGAATAGTGAATTTGCAGATTCTCTGGTTGGATTAGGTTGTGTGGGTGGGCACAATGTTGTCTGGAGCTTTCTACAGCCAGACCAAAAGCTAGAAATTTCCTTTGACCTTGTATTAAAAAAAGTCAACAATAAATTACTCTGAGGTGTTTGACCTCCCTTACTTCATACAACCTTTTCTAATTCTGTAATAATTTAAGTACTTCTCTAAAAGTATTTTCATTTTTGGATCTGTTGTGTGGCAAAATTTCTGATGTCTTCTAAGCCAGAGAGTAATTTTATTATACCTTCACATTTAAGCGATAGTTTTGAATATAAAATTGAAGGCTAAGGTATTTTTCTGCAATAGCTTTAAAATGTTGTTCCATTTTCTAATCAGGGCTGTTACAATCAGTGTTGATAAGGCTAATGTCAACCTGATTGTTGCTTCTCATGTGTAGTGTTTCTAGGGGAAGAAACAAACCAGAAATGGGATATGGTGAAATAAATGTAAGCTTAATAGTCAGTGAAAATTACAAATAAGAGTATAGTAAGATACTGGCAAAGCATATGGTGGTGGTCTCTTTTTGGCAAGAAGAAATTTTCTTTTTCAACTTGACTTGATTTTTTTTTTTGAAATTAGATTACATTTAATTTGTGCATATGTGTATGTCTCAGTACCAGCAGACAACATAATTTATCGTGAACTTGAAGTAGGTAATTTATTAGAAAAACAAAAGCTAATTTTGATAAAAGTAATTAGTTGAGAGTCCAATATGAACTAAAGCTAAGTTTTAAAAGATCACCTCAAAAGGCTGTTGGTTAGTTCTGTCACCTGGTAATGCAAGATATGTAAGATCATGGGGTAAATACCGTAGAGGTAACTTTAATGCCCAGAAGAAGGATTTGGGTATAGCAGCAGTAAATATCTTGTGAAGTGTAAATATAATCAAGAGGAAGCAGTCCTTTAATTTCATTCTTTCTAAGATCTCTTAGTAAGTGTATATTCCATTATGTATATTGTTTGTTGTCTCTTAATTTTTTAATGTTTTCACTTTTTTTAAATTAATAGACTTAGAGCAGTTTTAGGTTTACACAAAAATTGAGCTAATTCTCCCAACCCCACCCCCGGCAGTTTCCCTCATGATTAGTATTGCGTGCTGTGTTACAGTTGATAAACCAATATAGATACATTATTTTTAACTACAGTCCATAGTTTACATTAGGGCTCAGTATCTGTCATTATAGTGTCATATAAAATGGTTTCACTGGCCTAAAAAAATCCCCTTTGCTCCTAATCCCTTTCTTCCCTCCTATTCAGCTCTTCTGCTTCCCCAAAAATCTCCTACCACTCAACCCAGGAACTATTTAAGTTTATATTTTTATATCTCCCCGTGTGTATGCATGTGTGTGGTATATATATATCATGCATAATGAACGTTCCATCAAGTGGTTAAATAAAACTGTCACCATATGTTTTACAGAGCTGTCATGCAGTTGGGTGGCTACTAAACTCTACCTTCTTTCCCATTTTTAGCTTGCATTTTTTTTTTTTTTCCCTGAGACAGTCTTGCTCTGTCACCCAGGCTGGAGTGCAGTGATTCGATCTCAGCTTACTGCAACCTCCGCCTCCCGGATGCAAGTGAGGTGCTTTAGCCATCCGAGTAGCTGGGATTACAGGGGTGTGCCACCACACCCAGCTAATTTTTGTATTTTTAGTAGAGATGGGATTTCACCACATTGGGCAGGCTGGTCTCGATCTTCGGCCTCCCAGAGTGCTGGGATTACAGGCATGAGCCACTGTGCCTGGCCCCCATCTTTAGCTTTCTTACTTGGATTTTTTCCTAGTCAAATATGAAAGAAAATAACTTTTCTAAGTACTGACTAGAATTTTTTGGATTTGATATGTGTACCACTTTTAAAAATGCTATGGAAAAGTAGAATTCCAAATTTATTAAACTTAATTGTTCTTATGGGTAATCACTGAATAGACTGTAGAAAATAGATTGAAAAGCTTAGCTTGCACTTTAGACATAATTTAAAAGCACAAGTATCTGTGGTTGTCACTTAAAGTAGTTGAATAAAGCTACTTTTCTTCTTCTCTGACTTACATTTCATTTTTACTAGTGAACAGCTCTGCGCTTTTTGTTACTGTGGGGAAAAAAGTTCCTTAGGACAAGGAGACTTAAAACAGTTCAGAGTAACGCCTGGATTTATCTTGCCATGGAGAAACCAACCTTCTAACAAGAAGGACATTGATGACAACAGCAATGGAACCTATGAGAAAATGCAAAACTCAGCACCACGAAAACAAAGAGGACAGAGAAAGTAAGCAGTTTTGAATTTAAATTGTTGGAATAGATTAAGACTGCATATAATTTATTTCCATTATAATGTTTATAAATTTTCAAATGGGGGTTGTTCTTGTTGAACAGTGTCTCATGTTTTCCACATTTATGGGATACTCTGATTCACCATTAACCCAATTAATCCAACAAACTGTCCTTTTCACAAATTTTTCTTATTATTTTAAAAAAAGTTTATCTTAATTGTATATGAAATCGGTGTGATCACAAAACTAAACTTTTGGAAGAAAACTTCAAAAAACGTAACACAAGCTGAGAGGGAGGGAGTTCATGGAATTTATAAATGGAAAGAAGATATTAATAAAACAGATCAATGAAGTCCTTCTTTTGTTTCTCTAAATAAGCTTTTAATTGTAAGAATCTAACAATACAATAGCAAATCCAGAATTGGTTTTCATTGCTCATGTCTTTTGTGTCATTCATTCATTGATCCATTCAATCATTTAATTAATTTAATTTATATATATGTTTGTGTGCTTCAGAAAATGTTGCACTGTCCTATACATTCTTCCTTCCCTCTCCCTCCCCTGCCTTCCTTCCCAGAAGATGCTTTTTTCTTTTTTAAGGATTTTTTTTTTGTAATTATATATGTATGTCTGTATTCACGGGCACATTGTAATTACCTGAAGCTCTTGTCTAATATATTTTAAAATATTTTGTATAGTTGTGTTTAAAGACCATATTAATACGGAGACTTGGCTGTGCTGGTTAAGGGAGTAGAAGTTTCTGTAGTTGATGAGAATGTGTAAAAATTAATTTAGCTTGCAAAGCTAACAGACTCTGCCTCTTGAGGGTGATGATGTAATCACTCAAGTGCTTATCTGGCTTATATCCAAATTTAAGTACTAAATCATTGTTGTGTTGTACTTACTTGATCCGCTCCTTGTTTTGAACTGCTGCCAGTGCCTTGAAGACCTGAAGTAGGAAATGAAACAAAAAAAGAGGGAGGATTTTTTAAAAGAATTTAAGGTGCAACAGTTTAAGGAAGCTTAGAAGTACTATATTTGGAGAGTTGTGATGCTTTGGAGGCTATAGCCTTATCTTTAGTTATCAATAGAGTACACGCATCTTAATAAAACAATCAGAAGGCCAGCAAACTTATTAGTATTAGCAAACTTAACGGACTGAATCAGGCTGTATCTTATATCCTCATGTTCTGCCTTAAATAATGGCAATTATATAAAATCCTGTCTTGAGAAATAGGTTTCATTTCCTTGTTTTAAAAGTGAAATTAATTTTTAGTGAAAAATTCTCATGAGCTCAGATAATAATATAAAAATAGCCTTTGTTAAATGAAAGTCTTTATATATACTTAGTGCTTACCAACTTAATAAGTAATGATAACATGCCAGTTAATGAAGTACACTTAAAAATTTGGCATCATTTAAGGGTAGGCAATTAATTTAGCTTGGTAATTATTTCAAATATTTACAAAATGTATGTTACTAATGAAGTTTAAATAGCGAATTTAAAAAACAGTTTCACAAAGGAGATTTTGAAAATGTCTTTCCTCTCATTTTCACTATCTAAAAAATCAGGATTTTTTTTTTTCAAACTCTTTGTTTTATAACTTAGAATTTTGTGGGGTATGCATTTCAGCTGATTCCTCTTGATATCTCTTTCTTTTTTTTTTTTTGAGGCGGAGTCTTGCTCTGTCACCCAGGCTGGAGTGCAGTGGCCGGATCTCAGCTCACTGCAAGCTCCGCCTCCCGGGTTTACACCATTCTCCTGCCTCAGCCTCCCGAGTAGCTGGGACTACAGGCGCCCGCCACCTCGCCCGGCTTGTTTTTTGTATTTTTTAGTAGAGACGGGGTTTCACCGTGTTCGCCAGGATGGTCTCGATCTCCTGACCTCGTGATCTGCCCCGATATCTTTTTCTAAGCTGGGCTGCTGTCATCCTTAGTGTTGACACTGATATCTTACTGATACGGTATATACATACAAACCAGTCTCAAAACTTAAAGGTTGAATTTGATTAAGCTGCTGGTTAGGACCTGATTCGTAATAAATTAGTCATTCTCTTGGTTTTTTTACACCCCTTTCCCTCATCAAATACTAGTGCAAAACAGTATGTTAAAACAACACTTAGTGATTATAGATGAACTGTTTTTTTTTTTTCTCCAACTAAAATAACAATGATTTGTAATAGAGAATATATTTGTAGGAATAGAGATTATACTTATAGGAAAGAATTTGTTCTCATTTTACTGTGAGCATTTATTAAAATGAGAATTTAGAGTTAGCATAGCATGCTAAACCTTTTTTTAAAAAGTCTATGCATTTCTAATGCTGAACATAAAAACATTACTGGTTATTTTTATATGGTTTGATATTTAAATGTACTTATTGAAATATGTTAATACTTTTTTTCTTTCAATGATTCCAGGTATAAAAATGTTTAGTACCCTGGTCATTGTGCTGATTTTCTCTTAATAGGAATCATGATAAATATCCAGCATACAGAAGTGCAGTGAGTTATGATCTATATTCAATAGTGATTTAATCCAGAATTATGATCAGGTTAAATACTATGGTATTAGGAGAAGATTTAAGTTTTAGTGGTAGTCATCTGATTACACATATTTAATATTAAGTACAATAGCCATTTTTATTTATTTAATGGTCTTAAATAATACCTAAAGTGTTAGAGCTTGAAAGCCTGAAATCTCCCATATGTTGTTTACTTTATTCAATGTTCTTTTTTTAGACTATAGTTTTTGCTGTTATACTATCTTCCTTATTCTACATACCTTTGGTAGCTATTTTCTTTTTTGCTTTTTACTTTCAATTTGTGATGTACAGTCTTGATTGAGAGTACTTGCAACGTCATGCCACAGACCAGCTGTTGAGATTTGTTGACGGGATCATAAGAAAGCTACAGCTGATACATTCCATTCCTCCTGCCTCTGTTTTCACACTCTGTAGTGGGTTTTCATTTTCCCTGGAAAATATCCTTTCTTTACATAGTTAACCGCCACCTCTGTTGTGGCAGTCCTCAGTCAAGATACAGCAAACTAAACATTTCTGATTTGATCAAGTTTGTTTTGTAAGCATTTAAGTAAAGCGAAAGGAAATACTCATGTGTTAAATACAATTCCTGACTAGGATATGAGAGTCGGTTTTAAAAACATTATATTATGGAATTGAAAAACAAATCTAATACTTCCCTATGGGTTTGGAGACTCTTTTGCTTAGTTGTTACTTATATAATATGGCAACCCAGTTTAATATTATACCATGGATAATACTAACAGATGAATTCTAAAAGTTGGTTTATGACAGTTAATGCCTGATAAATTAAAATTGATTTGGCAGTACATTGCATTTAAACAGTTAAAAATGAAACAATTTTCTGCTTGTTTTCACTTTCACAGCTATTTTATTTTATTTTCAGAGAACGATCTCCTCAGCAGAATATAGTATCTTGTGTAAGTGTAAGCACCCAGACAGCTTCAGATGATCAGGCTGGTAAACTGTGGGATGAACTCAGTCTGGTTGGGCTTCCAGATGCCATTGATGTCCAAGCCTTATTTGATTCTACAGGTATGGGCATGTTTTCAATAATAACTGCCTCTTAATTCTGGAAGCATTTTAATTTTAATGCATTATTAATGTCCTCAATAATAAATACCTTTCATCTAGAAATAATTAGAATCATACTATAAGAAATAATTATTAAATATGCCTGGTTAGGTAAAATAAATTGTCTAATAAGGTTTATCTAATTTGTTTAAAATCTGTACAGTATCACCACCAGACTGGATGCTTTTTAAAATACTTGTATTCTTGTGTAGATAGCAGTGCCATGGAGATCTGACAATTGAGGAAAAGGAATATTTTAAAGGGGAAAATTTTAAAGTGAGAACTTGGGGAATGTGGCATTCTGAGTCTGTTTTATTTGGGCATGAATGAAAATAGGTCTTAGCCAGGTAGATTATCTTATTATATCAGTATTATAACTCAGCACTCATGATATGGTGCTACTGGAATTTAAAGTGCATCTCATTTTATAGTTGAACTGCAGATTGACTGATAGTGGTTCAAGTGTTATGTGGTGGATAATTTAAAGGCTCAAGCGTTAATAATCATTGATACGTGCTCTCACTGTGGGATGAGGGAAGTAGAGGTGTATGTGCAGTTTATTTTCTATACATATCCTTTGTATATCACCGTAACAGAGTACTAAATAATATTTTGTTTGTTTTAAAGATACCAGAAACATACCAAATACATATATAATATTTAAATAAAATGACTAAAAACTAATTTTGTTTGTTGAAGAAATAATCACTAATTCAGTGATTCTTCAGATGAGCATCATAATAACCAGACAGCTTGTTAAAACACAGATTGCTGGCAGGGAACGGTGGCTCACAGCTGTAATCCCAGCACTTTGGCAGGCTGAGGAAGGTGGATTGCTTGAACTCAGGAGTTTAAGACCAGCCTGGGCAACATCGTGAAACCCTCTCTCTACAAAAAATGAAAAAATTCGTTGGATCTGGAGGCATGTGCCTGTAGTCCTGGCTATTTGGCAAGGCTGAGGCAGGAGGATTGCTTGAACCCTGGAGGTTGAGGCTGCAGTGAGCTGTGTTCATGCCACTGAACTTCAGCCTGGGTGACAAAGTGAGACCCTGTCTCAAAACCAAAACCAAAAAAAAAAAAAAAAAAAAAAACCAAACACAGATTGCTGGGCCTCACTGCAGGAGTTTTTGATTCAGTAGATTTCAGTTGTGAGCTGCACGTCTTCATTTTTTTGATTTTAATTTTGAGATGGAGTCTTGCTCTGTTGCACAGGCTGGAGTGCAGTGGCGTGATCTCAGCTCACTGCAACCTCTGTCCCCTGGGTTCAAGTGATTCTCGTGCCTCAGCTTCCTGAGTAGCTGGGATTACAGGCATGCGCCACCATGCCCAGCTAATTTGTAGAGACAGGGTTTTGCCATGTTAGCCAGGCTGGTTTCAAGTTCCCCCGGCTCAAGAGATCCACCAGCTTTGGCCTCCCAAAGTGCTGAAATTACAGGAGCGAGCCACTGTGCCCAGACAGATTCTGTATTTCTAAGATGTTCTCAGGTTGATATTGATATTGGCACTCAGTGGTTGGTCCACATTTTTAGGAGGGCCACTTTACTGGTATCACAAATATAGGATGCCATTGTATATTTACATATTAGAGTTGATTTTGAAGTTTTATGTCTTTATTAGCTTTAATATTTTTAATGTTTGCTCATTTGCTCCTTTTTGTTTTTCCCATTTTAGGCACTTGTTGGGCTCATCACCGTTGTGTGGAGTGGTCACTAGGAGTATGCCAGATGGAAGAACCATTGTCAGTGAACGTGGACAAAGCTGTTGTCTCAGGGAGCACAGAAGTAAGTAGCCAAAGCAAATACTTAAATCATAGTTTTATAACATTCACTTTAATCAGAAGTTCACTTGAAAGAATTATTAAATGATTGCTGTAGTGTAAAAGCTCCCAAAATAGGAAATTATTAATTTTTATTAAGAGTAATTTTAGGCTGGGTACGGTGGCTCACACCTGTAATCCTAGCACTTTGGGAGGCTGAGGCGGGTGGATCACTTGAGGTCAGGAGTTCAAGACGAGCCTGGCCAACATGGTAAAACCCCTTCTCTACCAAGAATACAAAAATTAGCTGGGCATGGTAGCAGTCGCCTGTAATCCCAGCTACTTGGGATGCTGAGGCAGGAGAATTGCTTGAACCTGGGAGGGGGAGGTTGCAGGTAGCCAAGATTGCACCATTGCACTCCAGCCTGGGTGACAGAGCGAGATGCTGTTTTAAAAAAAAAAAAAGTTATTTCATGCAAAAATTAGCTGAGCATGCTGGTGCACATGTGTAGTCCCAGCAACTTGGGGTGCTGAGGTGGGAGGATTGCTTGAGTCCAGTAGATTGAGGTTGCAGTGAGCCATGATTTCACCACTGCACTCCAGCCTGGGTGCTGGAGTGAGACCCTGCCTTAAAAAAAAAAAAAATTAATTTGTGTAAGCCATTGGAGTGTAGTATGTTATTCAGTGAACTTGAATCTTTTAAAATAAGTAGTTTACATTTAAATTAGAAATGAAAATTTTAGAAATGAAAAATTTGAACTATGCTTATAATTCATGTGGTTACTTTTTAAGACAAAACTATTTGATAATAATTTAAAATGAGAGAAAATATTTGAAAAGATTTGAAGGTCAGTAGTCCATAATGTGGACTACCTTTGTTTGATGTTTTAAAAAGTGATTAAAGATTTTTTTTAGTCCGGTTGGCAGTTCAGTTTATCTTCATTGCATTGTATCAAATATGTGCATAGTGTTCCATTTTTCAGAGCTTTTCCTGTGATTTTCATGTAATTTTGAAACTATATATATTTTGAAACAAATACAAATTCAATAGCTACCTCCCATTTATAAAGACAGCAAACTCTATGAAGTAATACTGCTTTGCTGTCTACAAATTTCTTTTTCTTTTTTCTTAAAATGTAGAGATGGGGTCTCACCATGTTGCCCAGGCTGGTCTCAAACTCCTGGGCCCAAGGGATCCTCTCTTCTCTCCTTGGCCTCCTAAAGTGTTAGGATTTTAGATGTGAGCCGCTGTGCTTGGCCTTCCCTTTTTTTTTTTTTGAGAGGAGTTTTGTTCTATTGCCCAGGCTGGAATACAGTAGCATGATCTCAGCTCACTGCAACCTCTGCTTCCCTGGTTCAAGCGATTCTGCTACCTCAGCCTCCTGAGTGGATGGGATTATAGGCTTGTGCCACCAACCTGGCTAATTTTTGTATATTTAGTAGAAATGGGGTTTCACCACGTTGGCCAGGCTGATCTTGAACTCCTGACCTCAGGTGATCTGCCCACCTCGGCCTCCTGACGTGCTGGGATTACAGGTATAAGCCACTGCGCCCGGCACTTTTGGTTTTTAACAGTTTTTTTGGGAGAAGTGAGACAGCCCTTCCAGTGAAACATTAAAACTGGAAATTTTGACCTTAGAAACTATATGGGCTTTAATAGATAGAACATAGGCAAAGCTTTCAAAAGTATAGTTGAGACAAGGACTTAACATTCAAGTAATAGTTCAATCATTAGAACATTAGCTTTCCTCGGATTATCAAAACGACCTGATTTACATAGATGAGTAACCATCACCTCAAGAGTAGTGAAGTCAGAGTGCTTGTTTTGGAAATTTTACATTAAAGTGTATATGTCATCAAATTTTGAACAGTTTAATGCATAATAGTATTTTCCCCAGCCTGAGCATTCTTAGAGGCTGGATTAAGACAATGATATTACAGTGAAAACCATCTCTTTTATGAATTACTTCACAAAAGTAATTTTTATTTTGGGCTATTTTGTGACAGTGAAAAGTATTACAGGGAAGGTAACAAAGGCTAAATGAGCTTTTTGGTGGTGGATTGGAAATAGAGGAATCAATATAAACTCATAGTATTTGATACTTAGTACAGAAATGTAGGTGTAGGTAGTTGTCTGAGTTTGTATGTATACATACATTTCCTACCTCTGTTTGCTGGGAAGGTAGTTAAAAGAAAACTTGCCTCACTCTGTCCCTTTTGGACAGAAGTTACCATTTTTGTTCTTCCTGATTAATAATTAAATTGTATTTAGAGATGAAGACTGTATCCTACCACTAGCAGAGGAATTACAAGGCCTTAGGAGACATTGCATCCCTTCTGACTTTGTTTAGGCATTGGTATTTGGTGGGCCTAAGCAAGTTAAATGCAGATTGAGTACTTGGAGTAGGTAGACCGTGTGGGGATTAGAAGGGACCTAGTGGTAACTCTGTCAAACCTTTACTTCTCCGCTAGATTCAATCACTCAAAACTCACAGGAGGGTCAGTTTTGTATTGCCATTTGTACTGTTTTTTGTTTGTTTTGTCCTTCAATTCCCCTCCCCTCCCCTCCCCTCCCCTCCCCTCCCCTCTCCTCTCCCCTCCCACCCTCCCTCCCTTCCTCTCTCCCTCCCTCCCTCTCTCCCTCTTCTTTCCTTCCCCTTCCTCCCTTCCTCCCTTCCTCCCTTCCTCTCCTCTCCTCTTCTCTCCTCTCCTCTCCTCTCCTCTCCTCTCCTCTCCTCTCCTCTCCTCTCCTTTTCTTCCCTCCCTCCCTCCCTCCCTCCCTCCCTCTTCTTTCCTTCCTTCCTTCCTCTTCTTTCCGCCCTTATTTCCAGGGTCTCACCCTGTCGTCCAGGCTGGAGAGCAGTGGCGTGATCACAGCTCATTGGCAACCTTGGCCTCCCAGGCTCAAACGATCCTTCCCCCAGCCTCCCGAATAGCTGGGACCACAGGCATGCGCCGCCTTGCCTAGCTAGTTTTTAAATTTTTTGCAGAGACTAGGTTCTGCTGTGTTGTCCAGGCTAGTCTCGATCTCCTGAGCTCAAGCAATCCTCCCACCTTATCCTCCGGAAGTGCTGGGATTGCAGGCGTGTGCCACCACGCCTGGCTTTTGTTCATTATTCTTCGTTATCAAATAGGCACAAGATGGACCCGTTAGTTAGAACTTTGTCTCAAGAAAGGAAGACTTGTCTCACTGGCAAAAATTCAAACATAAAACAACGCATTTGTTGACAAGGCTGTGGGGAAACGTACTCTCATTCTTTGCTGCTGCGGATGCAAATTGGTACACGTCTTTTGGAGGGAAATTTGGTGATACCTAACAAACTATGTATGCATTTACCTCTCAATTATTCTAGGAATCTATCCTGAATATGCCTCTAACAATACAAATTATGTGTTATTAAATGTTATTAATTATAGTATTATTTAATTTGTGAAATACTGGAAACAAACTAAATGCCCACACAGAGGAGAATGGTTGAATAAGCTGTTACATCCATACATCCATATAATGGAGTGTCATGCAGATAAATCAGAAACTAGAGATTGGTTACCTATAGGGAGTGGGAGGGAGAAGAAGGGAATGGAAATCTGTGTAGCATGGATGAAATGTGAGTGGCACTTCTCAGAATATATTTGTTAGTATAACTCTAATTCTTAGAACCATAGGATTATTTTACATGCTTCTATGCAGTTGCCATGAACTAGGATGTGGGGGACCAAATAAGCAATTACCACCAACCCAGATGCAGGAGAACCCAAAAAGGAATAGTAAAATTCACATAGAATTGGATAGGGAAGGAAAGAACTCACCTAAGTAACTGTAGAAAATGGTGTCTTGAGACAAAAAGAAGTGTATAGTCATGGTCATGCTGTAGTGTTGAAATGAGATCAGAAGTATGAATATAAACTCATGGTTTTTAATATTTACACAGACATACAGAAATATAGATGTGTGCATATGTATGAGTTAATTTGAATATGTATATTTCCTGCTTCTATCCCCTGAGAGGGCATAGAAATGGCACACCACAGTAGCATTGAGAATGCCTAGTGCTTAGATCTTGGTCTCTAACCATTGTTCTTCAATGAAAGGAACCAGGGCTCCTTGAGAAGTAGTTCCTTACAGGACTGATGCAGAGAAAATATAAGGTAAGCCTAGATCATCTTGTGGTGCCAGAAAGTAACGAAGTGCTTAAAAAGATGGAAACCTGTTCAAAGCACGGCAGCCAACCTGAAGGAGCTCCTAAGAACTGGACCAATTTTAGCAACCACAAAAATAATGATAATATTGCATTTTCATCCATAGAATAAGTACACGAGTCCATACTGATGTAAATAAATATAGATTGTCCAGTCACGTCACTGCTGTACTTAACACTCTTTTTCAGTGACTTCCCAATTTATTCTGAGGAAAAAAAAAACAGATTCTTTACTAACCTGTAAGGCTCTACATGATCTTCACCACGCCTCACATGTACTTCTCAGACATCTTTCACTATAACTGTTCATTTACTTCCTTAAGCCACACTGACCTCGTTGGTCTTACTCAAGTACGCAGACGCAGGTCCACCTCAGGGCCTTTCATAATGCATGAGTTGTCCCCTCATATCCTTTATGTATTTATTCAAGCGTGACTTTACAGTGAGGCCTTTGCTAGGCTTCCTGTCAAAGATTCCAAATGCCTTCTCTTCCCGTAATACCTGCTTTTTTGTTTTCTTTTTCGTACTTATCACCTCTGACAGAGTGTATATTCACTTAATAATCTTACTTATTGTTCATCTCCCTCTTGCTAGTATAGTAGTGCCATTTGGATAGGGGTTTTTTCTGTTTTGGTTATTCCTCAGTAAATATTTGTAGACTAATTGATAGCACTGAAGATCATTCATGGAATCATTCATAGGCAGCAAATAAGTTTGAAGTACCCAAAAGTGTTACTGGAGGTTATCAATGTGGCTAATTACATGAAAGTTTATATACTTAATCTCTAAATAGAGCAAATCTTTACAGTTCTACAGAAATGATTGG